AAATTAAGAAAAAACAGAAAAAACTGGTGTACGCTCAGATTGATAGAAAGTACTCCTCGCCGCTGCCGACCATGAGGTCATGACCCTCCCGTCTGCCACAGGTGTTTGAGAACATCCGCCGCACGGACCCCGGCGCCCTGGCCAAGATCGTCCCGATCAACGGGGACTGCTTCGAGAAGCGGCTTGGCCTCTCGCCCGACGACGCGAGCATGGTGCAGGCCGAGGTGAACGTGTTCGTGCACACGGCCGCCTCGGTGCGCTTCGACGACCCCGTCAAGCAGGCCGTGCTGCTCAACACGCGCGGCGCGCAGGAGGTGTGCAGCCTGGCGCTGGGCATGCCGCACCTCCGCGCCCTGGTGCACGTGTCCACGACCTACAGCAACACGAACCACCCCATCATCGAGGAGCGGGTGTACCCGGCCACGGCCAAGTGGCGCGAGATGGTCCACCTCGCCGAGACCCTCACGGAGGAGGACTTCCAGCGGCAGGCGCCCCAGCACATGGGCTACCACCCCAACACGTACACCTTCACCAAGTCACTCGCCGAGCAGGTCGTCAACGACCACCGCGACCGCCTCAACGTCGCCATCTACCGCCCGTCCATCGGTAGGGTTCCCGACGTGGCCGGGAGTTCGTTGGGCTGCCTACCTGGCAGGCGCACAGCCGCCGTTGGGCCGCCCCCGCCGCCCGGCGGGCAGGCAGCCCAGCGCGCTCGCAGCGCCCGCGGGCCGCGTGTCTGACGGCGCCCCCTCTTTGACATTGCAGTGGTCGGCGCGATGAAGGAGCCCATGCCCGGTTGGGTGGACAACCTGAACGGACCCATGGCGCTGTGCGTCGGCGTGTCCAAGGGTCTGATCCACACGGCGCTGGCCGACGAGAACTCCGTCATGGACATGGTGCCCGTAGACATCGCGGTCAACGGCATCATCTTGGCCGTCTACGAAACCATGAGGAAGTAAGTGAATCTTTTGTTCATTTGCACCCAAGCTATGAATGTTTTATGCCTGAAGTGGAATAATTCTTTTTGTTTGTATCGCTCAGCTCGACACGCGGTGAAATCAAGGTGTTCAATGGATGTTCGTCAAACAAGAAGACTCTAAAGGTTCAAGAGATCATGGACTTGGGTCTGAAGTGTATCGAGAAAAATCCCCATGATCGGATTTTGTGGTATCCCTTCGTTTTCGTCACGAGCAGCAAAGTGATGTTCACAATACTCACTTGCATATTCCATTTCTTCCCCGCGCTCATCGTAGACACAATTACGAGATTAACGGGCAACAAACCTTGGTAACGACATTGCGCGATATTTTCGAGCGTGTTTCACATAGTCTTCGTATTATTCTTATATTTTTTTCTGTCTTCGCAGGATGTGGAGAACATATATGAAGGCATACAAAGCTACACTGGCCATCCGCTACTTCACACTTCATCACTGGGTCTTCCGAAACGAAAAGTTTTTTGAGCTGGAGCAAAACCTGAACGAACGGGACGCTGCTACTTACAAGTTAGACCAGTCCAAGGAAGTGGATATCCCTGCGTTCATAGCATTGTCAATGGAAGGCGTCCGTAGATACGTTCTAAAGGAGAACATGGACCCTGTTAAGGCCAAGAGAAACCAGATGACGTAAGTTTCAAATGGATAAACAATGCCTCTTTCACTGAACAGTTACTTTGACGGCATGCTGGATCTAAAATCTATTTACAATGCATCATAAAAATGAGGATATATTCATATACTACACTGTATTTACTTTTTCTGTTTCTCTATAGAATGTACATAATCGACCGTGTCGTGAGAGGACTTTTGCTGTACTTCGCGGTCACTTCAACATATGGATTTATTTCTGGTCTCGTAGGATGAGAATGAATGTATTTTTCTTGAAGTTGCATAAACGTAAAAAAACAGTTACTTTAATTTTGTGTCAAAGAAGACTTAGGATGTGCTGCTCACATTGGTATCTTCCAGTGAAAGTACTTAATATTTTTTGCTACCCTCTCATCTCCTACTGGATGTGTTATCCGTTTGTTACGGAGAATTTTGTGCAAACGTATTATGGATAACAAATCATCCTTAATACGGATGACATTGTCTGTAATACAGAAAACTTTATCCGTCTTACGGATGATTAGTGATCCATAATACGTTTGCACAAAACTCTCCGCAAGCGAGTCCGTAAGAAAATGAGAGTGTAAATACTTTAAAGATTGATGTAAATTGTGAGTATATGTCATAGGTTTAATGTAGCTATTGTTTTAATTATTAGTTCAAACACTTTGACTGACGTGTTTGAGTAAGTTTTCGTGAAACATCCCTGTGAAGAATAATGATTTTCGTGCCGAATCAATCCTAAAATGGTCCTGAAATCGACACATTTCACTTCGGCTTTTCACTGGGATTTAGGTGTATCCATCCTATAAAACTTAAGTACATTGTTAAAAATGATTTTACTTTTAAGATAAACTTGACTTGCCGTTTCAGATTAAAGTTAATGTTTCACTACTACGTGTTCAGAAGAAGTGTGTCTTTTGGAAAACCATTCACGACCAAACATATTCCAAGTCCAAGGTGATTTTATCCTTTGGCGTCCTTTAAGAGGGTCAAAGCAGTTGCCGCAGGGAGAGTTTGCCGCGGGGACTTCTCTCAAACGACCTGTGTGCAATGCGTACGTGTAAACGATTTGTTTACTTTGCTCTTTGATGAAGTGGAGACGCGCGCGCTGAGGCATAGGCACGAGCTGCCTGCGCTCTGCTGTTTTCAGAATGGGCCAAGGCAACCCCCTCCTCACCCAGCGTGCCACCTCGACTTAAGACCCCCCCGCTCCCCCCACCTCTCTCTCTCTGCTTTTCACGACTCATTCTGTTCTGAAGCGAACCAGCAAATGCCATCATCCACAGTATGGATTCTGCCGCGATACAAACGCCCGCTCGTTTCGCCATGACCTTTCCGTCGAGCCGCACCGCGCCACGCCACGACGCTGCAAATATGCATTCTTTTGCCAACGTTGCCGATACATATTGTAATAGAAATTAAAGAAATATCCCAAACATGCAAGTTGCCTGCCTTCAATTTTTTTTTTTTACCGTCTGCAAGTGTGTGTGTACGGGTGGGTTGGGCCCCCCGTGTGGTCAGTGACGCTCGGGAAGCCTGTAGGTAAGCCGGCCCGCAGGCCTGCATGCGGTACGGTACAGCACATCTAGAAAAAGTGCACGGTTTGGACCACCCGCCTGGAAGGGTTGGCGTTTGAACCTCCTGACCCCCCCCCCCGTATCCTTAGGGATCATCCAGAAAATACGGCCGTTTTCATCACACTCATTATTGGAGCTCGGCGCCTGTGAGACTCGGGGTAGGCAACCCCGCAGTGCGCGCCTGCACTGCAAGCGAGATGTTGCCTACCTACCAGGCGCTGTGAGAGCTCGAGGCTGAACTTTCGAGGTTCGCAACGGCGAATGACAGGCGTACTTTCTAGACGACCCTTTTATGTAGGTGGTGCAGGTGGTGCAGCCGCCCCTCCATAGCGGCTGGGGTCTGAGTTGTAGTGGTCCGTATGCGAAGGAAATATCGGCTGATCGACTCCACAATACAGAATCCTTTTTTGAAATGTATCGCAACCGGGCAACGCGCTGCAAGGGCGAAGTATCGGAGTATAAAGGTTACGCAAGACCCGGAGCGGCCCGTAGGTGCACCCCGCATCGCCCCCTCCACGTCCTCCTCTCGCGCTGGAATCGTCTGATCGCCCGGAAGACATAACGAAACGTAAGAGATCTGATCCGGTTGAGTCGCGCAGTCACCAGAAGCAGCTCACAGCACTTCTTGACACAAGCGGTTGCCATGCTCGGCTACTCTGTACCGGGGTGTGTTTGAGCACCACTCGGCAGCTGTTGACCCAAAGAACACTGAACCAGGCCAGCGCAGTGCGTCCGCGTGCCCGCCGCCCAGGGGTCCAGGCAGCCGCTGGAGCGCTGCCAGCTGGAGGACGGTGCTGGAGGCTGTGCGCGCCCGCCGCGCGCCCGCCGGTGGGTTGGGCCCTACCCTGGCCGGTGGGCCCGGTCGGCGCGGCGCGGCGCGCGGGCGCCTCAGTCAGCCTGGAGCCGACGCGCAGGACACACGGGGCCGCACGCGGCTGCTGCGCACAGACGCCGCCGCCGACGACGACGCACGACGACGCCCCCACCTCGACCTGCCGACGCTGCTGACCTACACCGGCAGCCCGCACAAAGGACCATCGACTCGGCAGCCGTCTGAGCCTCGTCCCCTGCAAGGTGAGCCACGCGCTGCAATAGCCATGCTCAGTGCCACAACACTCCTGGGCTCCCGGGCCGGTGTAGCCCACTCGAGGCGCCGTCTCCTCGACCGGGTATTGCCTGCTGCTCATTGCTGCTCGTTAACGGGCGCGGCCGCGAGCCAAAGCGTGGAGTCGGCCGCGTTCAACACGGTGGTTATGGCCAGGTTATGACGGCAGGCGGGGTGCCCAGGGGTGGGGTGGCTCGGTGGTATACTAGGGATTTGAAAGTTCGAAATGGAAATCTTGTCCAAGAAAAAGATGAAAAACTTGAAATATGCCTAAAAACTATTAAGGGAAAAAATTCAAATATTTTGGAAAAAATTCTTGCAAAATTTTCCTCCCTTCCCAAAAAACCCTGAG